GCCTAGCATATCAATTTTTATGTATTCCATTTCATTTTAGATGACTTCCAATTTTCTTTGATTCATACTTCGTACGTCCCACGTTTCATTTACTAATAGATATTTGTAGTTGTTTCTTCTCATTTTAGGTTGTGCCACATCAGCAAATGAAGTTCTGAAAGCTTTACTCCATCCATGTCATTAAGGTCAAGTCTGTTTTGAGGAGGCAGCTCTTCCCCAGTCGTATTTTGAGTGCCTCCCAACCTGAGGGTCTCATCTTCTGGCAGTATATCAGACAATGTTCCAGTGCTATTCATAAGATTTTCACTGGCCAATTTTTTTAGAAGTAGACTGCCAGGTCTTTCTTCTTAATCTGTCTTAGTTTGGAAGCTCCACTGAAACTTGTCCACCATAGGTGACCCTGCTGGTATTTGAAATACAGTGGCATAGCTTCCAGCATCACAGGAACACACAAGCCATCACAGTATGACAAACTGACAAACGTGGGCCGTAAAAATTACAGTCTTGGCCAGATTTACTGGCCTAAAGGAGACTGGAGAAACCCCGAGAGTATGGCCCCCAGACACCCTTTTAGCTCAGTGGTAAAGTTACCTTCGAGGTTCACTGATCAGCCTGCGAGTGGACAGCCCAGTAAAACCATGAGAGTAACGAGGTACAGGAGTCCAGTGACAAGGCCCAGAAGGCAGAAGGGGAGTAGGAAGCTGATGATAGGGAACACAAAGTAGAGTAAGGATATTGTTGATGTGTTGTGAGATTGTTAACCATTGTCATAGGGCAATATTTGTAGTAACTATTAAATGGGAGACTATTTTGTCCTGTAAGCCTTCATCTTAAGTGAGAATAACAGCACAATTAGAAGAGCGTAGTCAATGTCACTTAAATGTGTATGTAAAAAAAATTTTTGAAATGGCGTATCTTTGGCTATGTGTATTTTCACAAAAAAAAAAAAAAAAAGTTGAAAATTTAGAGGGTTAAAATGTTGTGGGGTTGTTAACCAATGTCATAAAACAGCATGTGTGTTACTGTTACATGAGAAACTATCTGTTCTGTAAGCCTTCACCTGAAGTACAATAAAATATTAAAAAAAAAAAAATTACAGTCTTGAAAATTCTGTAGGGTGGTTCTACTCTGTCCTATAGGGTCACAATGAGTCGGAATTGACTCCACAGCAACAGAAAAAGAAGGAAAAAGTCTTCCCTGCAGTCTAATGCCAGCTAATAAATGTATAAGGAATGATGAAGTTATAAAATCAACACTTTGAAAACATGATAATTATTAATTGACTCAGTAAAAATTATCAGTAGATGATAAAACTATTGAGTGAAAGTTTGATGTGGAACAAGATATTTACATAGTCTTGAAATCTCTCTCCACAAATTATTTATTAAATATAAAGAGTAAAATGTATAGGAAGACTGAACTCTCTTCTTACCTGCTTCCTCAGGAGGGAGCTGCTCTGTTTCAGAGGGTAAAGCCAGTGTTAATTACTGATTGCGATTTCTAGAAACTACTGCCATGCTAGCAAAACACTTCCCCTTGTCAATTGCCTATGATGTGGTAAATCTGCAATAATGGATTTTGATTTATAATCCAAAACATTCTATGGGAAAAGAAAAGTGTTAATATGCCTCAGCCTATCTGAGCTTGAATCGAGGTGCAACAGTAGCTACAAAGTTCCAGTTAATAGAAGTAAGTGAAACCAAAATAGCCCTCTGATCTTTTATCTTAAGCCAGGCCAAGTGCTCGGGACTATCAATTTCTCATTTAGTTAAATTACTTTCCAAGTTACTCTAGTTCATTCCTATGTACGTAAACATTTGTCTATTTAATTATATTATGTTGACTAGAACTTCAAACAATTTTTCTTTTGTATCAAGATTCTTGATCCACACGATTATTTAATATTAGAGATCTGCTTCTATTTCAATATGGCAACATTCACAAAAACATTCAAACCTCTATCTTTTGCCGGTACCTCAGATATTATGCTATGTCTTGGAAAAATAGCATGGAATATAATTTCAACATTAACCCTATAGGACTCAAATGGATACAGATTTCACCTGAGACAGACTTGCTGTTTTCCTAGATTTTTGCCTTATCTGTTCACAGAAAACTGATATCAGAAAGGCCAGTGACAGGTTGTTTTCTTCCTCCACTTGGTGCCATTCTTGCCCCATCACTAATCAATTTTTATTTTTAAAAATGTCCCAAGTTTCAGTTTTTAAGAGATCAATGGTGTAATATTAATACTTCTCAAAGAGAAACGGATAAATTGGCTACTCATTTTTCAAAACTGACTTTTATATTTGGAAATTCTAAGTGGATTAGTGTCCACTTACCTTAAGTGTTTTAAGTGTATCAGTTGGGACCATGGACGCTTAGACGTACTGGCTCCCCAGGAACTGCTCACGGAGTAATATGCCTGTGCTTTGGGTTCTAATCTTGAAAGACATGTTAAAATCGACTCCCTACCTCCACAGCAGCCTGAAGATGTTAGCGGCAAAGTTCTAATACGTGTGATATATTATGGCTCATGTAATAAGTTTTTTTTTTTTAACCAAATTAAGGTTATAACAAGTTTATTTTTAATCTGAACATCTAAAAAAAATGAGATGTTTTCAGATTATATTTAAAATGTAAGAGGAAATATACATTCATAACAAATTAATATTATCCTTTTGAAGACTTGCATTATCTTTAATGCCTTTTAAAAATGTGTATCTATAGCTGTCTTTATAAAAGAATTAGCACAATGAATTAGGTTCCATTCCTAGGTCATCTAACCTGGGTTGGTTGGTAGAGTGGATGTCATCTCATTCCTGCAATGCAGGCCCTTCATTTTGTTTCCTAATCTCTATGGTAACTGTTGCTCTCACCAGCACCCAGAAGATAAGCATAATTACTTGCCTCTCCAACAAGCAAAGTTACTACAGAAATAGTCTTTTGAAGCAGAGACATAGGGGTGGCCTTAAATTATTCAAGATATTTATTACTAATGAATGCACTTCTGTGAGTCATTGCAGCCTCAACTGCCAGTGTTTTGCATACAATTGCTGTGGAGTCAGAACCAGACATCAACTCTACATAGGAATGCTACATGTGGAAATCTGCTATTACTCAGCTTTTCCTACCTCCATAAATGCTGAGTTATTTCTGCAGAATACTGGACTAAAAGGATTGATTCTCCAGACAAACTAAGAAAGTAGGGACCTGGCGTGTGGAGGCAGGTAGATGGCATCTCCATCAGCACTGGGGACTTCAGGTGGAGCTTGGAGGAGCATTTCTACACCAACAAGAGCCATACGGCCCTTGCTATTTCTTTTCAAAACAAATCTTATTGTCTAGATTTTGGCAAGTCTGGTATTATCACTATTGCCATCATATTTTTGAAGAACTAACATAATTAGTTTTTGCATTAGTTTCTCTCTCTGTAAAATGGTATTTATCTGACCAAATAATGTGTGCTTTAATTCATTCATTTATTTGGAGAGGGGAGAAAGCACTATTTAAAATTTAATGATCTGTAACTTTTTCAAACAATTTTAAACTTCTTATGTTAAAGAATATGATGTCTTTTTTATAGCATAAACTATTTTGGTTGAAAGTGAATGTACATAGAGAGGGAGAAAGAGAGTGAGAGAGAGCGTTTGAACAATAGTTACAATATGAAACTATTAACAGGTAGCTAATTGGCTTCTTTTTAAAAAATAAAGTAGTAACAACTGAATTCTGTGTGTGTGTGTGCATATATATGTGTGTGTATATATTATATATGTATATATAGCATATATTTTGTATATATACACATAATTCTAGGGCTTTAGAACCGTATTTTCAGAAACCAATAGTGTGAATACTTAGAACTTTTGAGGCATTATAATTTTAAGAGTGGACTAGATTCTCATTTCAAAAAAAAGTAAATTTACTTGAATTTCAAAGGGCAAAATTTGAAGCTCTCAATTGTTTAAATTTATAATAAACATTATGCTAAATAATTGTACATAATACATTTTTTACCAAATACTATCTATTCAAACACCTTATCACATTATCCTCTTGTGAGCTTTCTTTAAATATATATATATAGTCATATATGTGTGTGTATAGATATATGTGTGTATGTATATTTGAATATAGGTATACAAATACATCCATGTATCTATATATCTATGTTGTTGTTGTTGTTATGTACCATCAAGTTGGTTCCGACTCGTAGTCACCCCATGTACAACAGAAGGAAACACTGCCTGGTCCTGTGCCATCTTCACCATCGTTGTTATGCTTGAGCCCATTGCTGCAGCCACCATGTCAATCCATCTCGTTGAGGGTTTTCCTCTCTTTCATTGACCATCTACTTTACCAAGCATGATGTCCTTCTCCAGGGACTGGTCCCTCCTGTAACATGTACAAAGTGCGTGAGGTGAAGTCTCTCCATCCATGCTTCTAAGGAGCATCTGGCTGTACTTCTTCCAAGGCAGATTTATTCATTCTTCTGGCAGTCCATGGTATATTCAATATTCTTTGCCAACACCATAATTCAAAAGTGTCAGTTCTTCTTAGGTCTTCCTTACTCATTGTCTAGCTTTCACCTGCCTATGAGGCAACTGAAAATACCATGGCTTGGGTCAGGTGCACATTAATCCTGAAAGTGACATCCTTGCTTTCCAACACTTTAAAGAGGTCTTTTGCAGCAGATTTGCCCAACACGATACGTCGTCTGATTTCTATACATATATTTAAATACTACTCCAGGGAATCCTTGGAATGCACTCCTAGAAGCATGGCCAGTTTAAGAAGTCTCTATTCCTCTATTCTCCCAAGAGGTTTTACAGTCTTCCCAAACACTGTGTATTCATTGTTCCCCAGGTAAAATGACTGTAGTTGCCTTTTTGTTTCTTCCCTCTCCCTCCCCACTGCAAGACTGCCTGTTTAACATATTGATTCATTTCTAGTTACAAGAACCCACTTGCCATCTGTCATTCCAGGAAATTCCTGAGATGGACCCAGATAAACAAGGTGGGTATTACTGTCAAGTTTCTGGGCACAGTTTGTAAACAAAAAAAAATTAGCACAGATGTATTTTTAGACACCGGAGTTGCAGAAGAGAAGACATTGGCAAATTTCTGGCTGGAAAAGAAAATATTAGGTGAGTAAAGAGACTTTTCTCTCTCTTCTAAACAGAAATCTGTAATTAATTGAAGCCTATTTGGTCTATTATCTCCAAAGCACCAAAAAATAATTTAACAAAATACTTGATGTCAATATAGTTACATTTTAAATTGCTATTCAAATACACAAAAGTAGCTTCTTATTTTTATTTATCTGTGTGGTTTACTGTTAAAATGACATCACTGGAGTTTTTTTAATGTCAAGGGTAAGTTTCCAGTACTACGCGATCCCGAAGTGAGGAGAAAGGTCCCACAGCTGTCACCATATGAAAACTTGATAAATCAATATGGGGAAACCAATTTCCCTCTCCTATAACATCTTTAAATGCCAGGTTAGGCCCAGGACCAGTCTGTGACATCTTTGGTGCTGAATCTATTTGCAGCCTTATTCCCCTAGCTGAAATCTAGATTGTTAAACTTACTTTTTTATATAAAATTCGGTAACATCTCAAGTTATTTATCTTAAACAACATTATGAATGGTTCAAATTATCTTTTAAGTTTCCCAGATTTGAAGGTACCAGAGTTTACCCCATATTGGTAATCTAAACACAAAGCAGCAGGTTTAATCCATTCAATGCTCAAGTTTTCTTGCCACATAGCGGTTCGCAAATGTAGGGTAAATCACAATCACCTGGAGCGATTGTTAAATTTCTGGGCTCCACCTACAGAGTTTGGGAGTAGTAGTTCTGGAGTGGGGTCCAAGAATGTGCATTTCTAACAAGTTCCCAGGTGATGCTAATGCTGCCCACCTGTGACCCACTTGGGTACCCACTAACATAAAGCATCAATTTCTAGACTAACTAGATGATGGACAGTTGTTGCTGGTTGCCGAGGAGTTGATTCCAACTCATGGCAACCCCATGTGTGCAGAGTAGAACTGCTCCGTAAGGTTTTCAAGGCTCTTCCCTTTCAGAAACAGATCACCAGGCCTGTCTCCAGGAATCCTGTAGGTGGGTTCGAAGTTGAGCGTTTAACAGTTTGCACCCCCCAGGGCCTCCTAATAGACAGCTGAAGAGGTTTTATTACATTCATCTTAGTACCTATGAAAAATGATGAATTTATCTGACTAAGCAAAAAATAAAAAAATTGTTTAAAGCAACTGATGTTCCCCAAGTTGCTTCCACAAATAAGAACATAGGTAGCTTATATTGTTTCTTTTAAGCATCTAAACTACTTCGTTCAACATTTTTGGCCTGACAAAACCTGCTGCTGTCTAGTGAATTCCAACTCATAGCGACCCTGTGATGCATCCAGCAATTTTTTTTTTCGTTTTTTGAGTTATCTGCTACCAGCAGGACAAACCAAATGAAACCTTGAGGAAGCAGGGCCAGAAGGGAGACTCACCTGGGAGACTCGCACGTTTTCCATGTTGCTCTGTATCACAGCTTGCCATGATATGCTGCATAACTTCATCAGATGACACTGCAAAACATAATTTGACAAGAGTGTGGTGTGCCAGATGGTAGAGCATCTCTAAAGTCACTGCTTCACCAAGAACAGCATACGGGAAGCCGCAGAGCCCCCATTTTGCTGATTCTCTGTTATCTGTTTGGCACATGAGAGGAACCAGGTCACAAAACCTGGCTAATTTCCAGGAGGGGAAAATGTTGGACATTACACTTTTGTAAATTACTTTCATACCATTTTGCTTCTGTTCCACTTGTTTTCCTTCTCCAGACAGAGTGCAGACGTGTTTCTTAACTTCTCCCAGACTCGAACATTGGGTTCTTATCTGAACACTAAGCATTTTTAAAATGTAAGGAAACAAATACTGAATCACAAACATTTTAGGGCAAACTGTAGATTCTTCAGTATGTTTGTGCCTCTTCAAAAAAAAATATGGAAGATTCTCAGACAAGATGGCTTGTCTTGGTGATATTTTTTTAGGCACAGCCCTCATTTACCTGAGATAGATGTCCTCAACTCATGATTATATATTGGTCACTGAAGCAAACTTCAGAGAGAGGCCCGTGGTGTGCTCTAACTCCTCAAGTATGGCACTCTAACCCATGTCACTAAGCTAGTGCCTGGTGCTCAATATCCATATGTGTAATGGTTAGGAAAAGATCGCTGGGTGGCGCAAATGGTTTGCGTGTGACTACTAACCTAGGGCTGGTGGTTCAAACCCACTCAGCAGCATCACAAAGAAAGGCCTGGCAATCTGCTTCCATAAAGATTACAGCCAATAAAACTACGGAGCAGTACTACTCTTTAACACATGTGGTCTCCATGAGTTGGAATTGACTTGATGGCTGTGTTTTTTTGTTTGTTTGTTTTTGATTTTTTTATGGTTAGGACTTTGCTCCAGTTTCCAAACTAAAATTAAGTCAGTGTGGCTTGGTATGTGTCGTGGATTGAACTGTATCCCCCCAAAATATGTGTCAACTTGGCTAGGCCATTATTCCCAGTATTGTGTGAGTGTCTACCATTTTGTCATCTGATGTGATTTTCCTATGTGTTATAAATCCTACCTCTATGATGTTAATGACTCAATCTACAAGATTAGGTTGTGTTTTATGTCAATCTCTTTTGAGACATAAAAGAGAGAAGCAAGTAGAGAGATGGGGGACCTTATACCACCAAGAAACAAGAGCCAGGAGAATAGTGCATCCTTTGTACCCGGGGTCCCTGTGCTGAGAATCTCCTCAACCGGGGAAGATTGATGACAAGGACTTTCCCCCAGAGCTGACAGACAGATAAAGCCTCCCTCTGGAGCTGGCACCCTGAGTTTAGACTTCTAGTCTCCTAGACTGTGAGAGAATAAATTTCTCTTTGTTAAAGCCATCCACTTGTGGTATTTCTGGTATAGCAGCACTAGATGACTAAGAAAGTATGAAATTCAGACTGAGTCATGTTTGGGAAAGAGCCATCCCTTGAAGACAAACAGAAACCTCTAAGGTTTTTATCCTGAGCATCTGGTGGAAGACCCTGATTTTAAGTGGCATCGTGGCCACCAATTGCTATACTCGTCTTTGGCTTTGGGTCCACTTGATGGCATAAAACTCCACGTCAAGACTGGACACAGAAATCCTCAGTAAGCCTAGTGCTTGGTCTCCCTGTTTATGCTACACAGCCATCCCCTCGCCTCAGGAAACTGCCAACAACTACTGTTTTGAACTTGACAAAATGTAAATAATAAATGTAAGAATAAATGCAGCATGGTATTATTGCAGGAATATGTAGCGTAATGGAACAGAATAGAGCCCAGAAACTGACCCATATAAATTTGGAACGTTAGCATATGATAAAGATGGCATTTTAACTCAATGAGGAAATTACAGATTATTTAATAGTATTGGGGCCATTGGATAACCATTGGGAAAAATATATAGAGTCTCTAATTTATATCATACATAAAAATAACATCAGAATATATTACAAAGTGAAACATAAATTATTAAAACTCCTAAAACTATTAGGAGAAAATATGGGAAATTTTTTTTTATTAGAATTACAATACATTTATAGATTCATTTAGGGTAGAATTCACATCTTCATGATACTAAAATTTCTATCCAGGAATAAAGTAGAGCTCTCTATTTATTCATCTCATCATTAATGTCTTTCAATAAAGCTTTATAAGGCTTTATACATTGGTGTATTGTATAGATTTAAAAATTATCTGCTCTAGCTGATTATTGCTGCTATAAAGCTGTGATCCTCAATGTCTGGTTCCTGGGTCAACAGCAGCGGCATCACCTGGGAACATGCTCAGAACTAGTGAATCAGAACTCTGGGGTTAAGGCCCCGCAGCTTGTCTTTGAACAGGTAAACATGATACAAGCTAAAGTTTGGAAATCACTGGTGTAAAGGGAATTTATTGATTCCTGAACAGTTGTCCTGAATCCAGCCAACTTACAGGTGATTCTTATGGGTTATCTAGACAGATAATCAGATCATTTGTAAATCCTGATATCATCTGCAAATCTATTCCTTGCCAATATTTATACCTCTTTTTTTCTCATCTTATTTATTTATTTTTTTGATTAGATTCCAAAATAGGAGCAGCAAATAAGTTTCAAACTGAAATCATGTGCCAAGTCCCTTGACTGATACTGACTGCCTAGAAGGCCCTCTTGACAAGGTGGTGGATGCCACGAGGGTGGGATTTTTGTCTATTTTGTTAACTGCTATATTTCAAGGACCTGGAATTATGCCAGATCCACATAGTATGAGTGCAATACGTAAATGAATGAATGGATGATTAGCTTTTGAGTCTTTGTTGTTAGGTGCCATTGAGGTGGTTCCAACTCATAGCAACCCTGTGTACAACAGAACAAAACACTGCCCAGTTCTGTGTCATCTTAACAATCGTTGTTATGCTTGAGCCCATTGTTGCAGCCATTGTGTCAATCCATCTCATTGACGGTCTTCCTCTTTTTCACTGACCTACTTTACCAAGCATGATGTCATTCTCCAGGGACTGCTCCCTCCTGATAACATATCCAAAGTATGTGAGATGAAGTCTATATATGCATAAATATGTGTGCATGTATAACTAGAATATAACGTGTTTAAAACATTGAGTTTATATTCTATGTATAGTTTTTTTTTTTTTTTAATCTTATTTGTTTCACAGGGTCTTCTTCTTTTGTTTAAAAAGTGGGTAGATTCCTGGAGGACTAGTCCTACCTTTTGGTGGATTCCCTAGTTAGAGAGACTCAGAGGGATACCCTGTAGGGTCACCTGGAGCCCCAGGGTCCTGTGAGTCCCTTATTACTTGTTCCCAGGCCTTGATTTTCTTACCTGTTAAATAAAGGAAGGCTATATGATCTCCCAGGAGTCTTCGTGGCAGAGTGGTTAAGTGCTCAGCTACTAACCAAAAGGTCAACAGTTTAAACATACCGGCTGCTCTGAGGGAGAAAGATATGGCAATCTGCTTCCGTAGAGATTACAGCCTTGGAAACCCTACGAGGCAGTTCCACTCTGTCCTGTAGGGTCATTATTTAAGTCGGAATTGACTCGACAGCAATGGGTTTGGTTTTTTTGTTCATATGATCTCTAGGATTTCTTTCTGGTATGTGGGATTTATATACCAAAACGATCCTTTATCCATAATATTTCATGTTTTCTTTGCAGATGCTTGTAATAGTATCGAGAATTTCATTTATAGAACAGCCTTCAAATTACGATCTGTGCAAACTCTGTGCCAAAGTAAGTACAGGCTCTCTTGAAGCACTTGAAATAATCTGCTGCTGATGTGTGATATAAAATTTATAGAGAAAACAAAAGGTCCCCATGTGAGTGACCCCATGACTCAGGAAGACTGGACCTGTGCATACCCTACTTGTAACAGAGAACATTGTGAAGAGTATACCATGCTCATTCAACCCCTGTGTGGCTCTGCTGACTAACTATAGAAAGTGATTTGTGGATGAACATTTTAATTTTTTTTTCATTCTCCCTATTTGGTTTCTGGAAATTTTTTTTTTGTTTCGTTTTTAGGATACTAATATTGACACAAAATAAAATTACAAAAGAAGCTAGTTTAGAATCTGTACTTACAGATTTAAGTGTGAAAATTTATGAATCCTTCTACGTGAGAGTTGCATTTTTTAGTTGTACCACTTATCTACATCTGAACATCCAAAAGTAGGTTCAAATGAATAATCCATGGACCACAAATTTCAAAACTATCTTAAGTATTCCTTGAGAACTGCCATTTTGTGTTAACTTTTTATCTGATTGAATGCTATGGTTTTCTTTTCCTATAGTGTTATTTGGAGCTCTGGTGGTACAGTGGTTAAGAACTGGGCTGCTAACCAAAATGTTGGCAGTTTAAATCTACCAGCCACTCCTTTGAAGCCCTATGTGTTATTTAGGTAAAATATAATGAAAACGTTTATCCTGTAAAAATTCTGCAAAATGAAATAATTGGGTTCTAGCTATATTAAAAAAAGGCATTCCACATATCTAAAGTTATTGATTTCCTATAAGTTCTTTATAGCATGAAAAAAGTATCATGTGAAATGGTTTCTGACATTTATCATATCAGACCGGAAGCTGCTGGGAGTATGACATTTCTACTAAAGGTTAAATTCATTTTATGCTTTTCTGACTGCCTAGTAAGTTATATAGACCAGTGGTTTTCAAATTGTGCTTTACAAAGTGTACATGGGTGTGCATGGGCATGAAAAGCCTAGCAAGGTGAGAAAGGGAGGGAGAGGCAAGTTAGGAAGGTTCAAGGATCATCTCTTCAACCAGAACAACTCTGTATTTCTCTGTTTTACATACTGTGTTTCCCTATGAGCCTTCTTTTGGAAAAAGAATTCTTGGCTTTTAAAAACGTTTTCTAAAATCACTGATCTGGACAAATAAACTCACACATGACCATTATTTCTTATCCCAAGGATCAAGAAAAGGTAGAATTTGATCACTAACAGTTTACCCTCAATTATATTATTTTTTGGGAGAATTTCTCCCATTAAAGAAAATATTTACAAAAGTCTCCCTCATTAATGCCTAGGAGTCCCTGGGTGGTGCAAATGGTTAAGTGCTTGGCTACTAACTAAAAGGTTTGTGGTTCAAACCCACTTAGAGGTGCCTCAGAAGAAAGGCCTGGTGATCTGCTTCCAAAAGATCATAGCCATGAAAATCCTATGGAGCACAGTTCTACTCTGCCACATGTGGGGTCGCCATGAGCCAGAATTGACTCAACAGCAACTTTTTTTTTTTAAACTATGTGTATAACAGCATAATTTAAGAATGCGTATTTTTGAACTTTTTGTTATCCTTGGCATCAGAAGCAGTGAATATAAATAATACTCATGGGAAATATGAACAATAAACAAAATCAGTAGTTGAAAAGTTTTACCTAAAAAGAAACAAAAATGTGAAAGCAACAATGACAAAATATTCCAAACACTGAGAGAAGAAGGCATGCATGAGTTCTGAGGAGCAAGATCTGGAAGCATCCTGTGTAAGCATTGTGAGGAGATGAGGATACCACCGTCACCTGGTCTGCTGTAATAAAGAAGTCTCAGCAGAAGACAAAAATGTCCTGTTTATCGAATGCCAGGCAGAGATGATGGGTTTTGCGATTACATAATGATTGAAGATTTTGCAGCTTCTACCACCTGCAGCCATGTTTTTATTCAAGTCGTATTCCCCAAACCTGCTCCTACTCCTCACTTGCTGAGACTCTCTACTTGAAAGCAGTAATAGACAATAAATAAAAATTTTTATGACACTTGCTAGATTTTTTTATCTGAGAGATTGATTTACAAAGTAGAGAGAAGTGCGGGTTTTACTGTTTCAAAGGCTTAAGCATTTCAAAAGCCAACCACTCTTAGTGCTACTGACATCTCCACCTCTCAGAATATAAAAGTTGAGTGTTTATTAATTTTGTCTGTCAGCCTCTCTTCTCGAGAAACCATAGGGTGGTTCCACTTCATTCTACCTGCTATTTATTGCCTTGTAAAATTTTTAGGAGAAGGAGGTAATAATATAAGAAATAAACCATCATTTTTTGTAAGCAACTCTGGTTTTATTGAGTGCCTTCCCTAGATAATAATACTGATGGAACCAAGATCAAAAAAGATATTACTGAGGCAAGGATGGGACCTAAAGCGTCTAATGCTTCAGCAATTGCCCCTTTATAAAGATCGCTGGGATTTTAAATTGCATCAGGTTGTTGCTAGGTGCTGTTGAGTTGATTTGACTCATAGCAACCCCATGTGACAGAGAAGAACTGTAATCTTTTTTCTTGGTTTTCTTGACTGTAATCTTCATGGAAACAGATCACCAGGTCTTTCTCCTGTGGAGCTGCTGGATGAGTTTGAACAACCAATCTTTTGGTTAGCAGCCAAGTACTTAACTGTTATGCCACCAAGACTCCTTCAAATTACAGTATAACACACAATATTCCTTCTGAAGCTAGGCTAATAGCTTCTCTTGACGTATATTTACATGAGTATAAATAAAACTATGTTTATTAAGAAAGGTAAATTTTCTCAATACACTTAATGAATATAAAACTGTTTCTCCTAACTTTTCATTGCAGTGTCCTAACTTGCTTGGGAGGCTGTTTTTCAAGTTTCTCACTCCCACTTTTAACTTCATTCTGTAAAGCAGTCATCCTGGTGGTTATATTGGTAATAATGTGACAATTATGCTTAACTAACAGACACACTTTTCCAAAATTCAAATTGTCAGAATAGTAATGCCTGAATTATATACAAGAGATAGGTGTCTAAACAGCGGTCATATTTAATTCTTTTTAAAATTGCTGCCATAAAAAGACCATCTTAATTAAACAGTAGATGACATTTGCTTTATTTGAAGCCTTTGTTTCCAATCAGAAAATAAGATTCTGTTTCCACTTGCTTCCTGCAGTGGACCTGATTGACAGCTCCGTGATCCAGCACCTCCTACTACCCCAAGACTTTTGGGACCCAAGGGAGAGCTCCCTGTCAGTGCAGCAGCTTTTTCAGGCCCTTCAGGAGCTGTTTCAGAGGGTCAGAGTGGAAACACCAGGACATGTGCATCCCAGAGCTTCGGAACTCACTCTGAGCCTTCTCACAGCGATGTATGACAGGTAAGGGTACAGGTGCTGGTGCTGTAACCTCAATGGCAGTATTTATCCACCACTGATCATTGACAATTTAATGTCATCTAATGTTTGGAGAAAAAACCTGGCTATCTGCTCACATAAAGATTAAGCCTAGAACACCCTAAGGGTGAGTTGTACTCTGTCACATGGGTCGCTACCAGTTGGAATCGACTCACCAGCACCCAACAACATTTGCTTGGAATCACTGTGTGGTGTAAATAATTAATGTGTTTGACTGTTAACCATAAAGGTTGGGGATTCGAGTCCACTCAGAGATGCCTCAGAAGAAAGGCCTGACAATCTACTTCTGAAAAATCAGCCGTTGAAAACTCCGTGAAGCACAGTTCTATTCTGACACACATGTGGTCGCCATGAATCAGAATCAACGTGATGGCAACTAGAGCTGGAATGTTTGTTTGGAGTTTGGTATACAAGAAGACTTCATTTTTTTGTTTGTTTGTTTGTTTGCTTGTTTGTTTGCTTGTTTTCCACAAACGTATTATGCATTGAGGAGGGGAATGAAGATGTACATGCTTATCAGCTTCACTAAAATATATGACCCATGGACAGCAAATTGGGAAAAGAAATTCCACATTACTTTTTCTCTTATACAAACTATTCTCCACTCTAGAGAAGCATACACACCTTTTGTTAGGGTGATTATACATCTATACGTATGAACAACTACACTTTGCTTTTGAGTCCCGGTAGCCTTATTTCATTATCAATTATTGTTTTGTGTTTTGGCTGGAGTAAGAGTGAATGTCCTGTGCATGGGTGGCTAACCTATAAACCAATTTAGGTCAAGTCAAAGGTTGATCCTATCTGCTCTGGAGCCAATGCTTGTGTCCATTAGTGTGTGTGTGTGTGTGTGTGTGTGTGTGTGTGTGCATGCACATGTGTAAAGAAAAAGAAATATCCATACGCCTACCTCTCAGAGGCAGGCACAGTTTAACCACTTGGCAAATTCCTTAGAGTTGTTTTCTTTTCTAGTTTTTTATTCATTTTGTTATTACTCAAGTAAAATATAAACACATTCACAAGTTATTTTTTGATGTTCTTCAGCCTCCTTAAACATTAGACTTACAACTGCCATTTCTACTATCAGTGCCTGCCTCTAACAGTCCTCATGCCTTGGATAAATGGTTTTGTAGGTTTGGAAACTATATAGTATGAAAACAATGATTAAGCTCTGAGTGAGGACCTATGAAGTGTTTTTTTTTTTTTTTTTTTTTACATAAATGTTTGCTCCTCTGCCTACCTTTTGGTCCTTGTCTCTGTTGTTTGGTTTCCAGGTTGCTGAGTTTTAAGGAAGTAAGATAGCCTGCTCTAAGAATACAGGGTTTACTGTTTATTGTTCAACAAATGAGTGAATAAATAAACAAATGGTGAAATATTTTAATTCGGTGTATGTGTGTGTGTGTACGTTAGCTGCCGTCAAGTAAACTCTGATGCATGGTGACCCCATCTGTACCACAGAAACTCTGCTTGGTCCTGCATCCTCCTCACAATCACCAGTATGTTTGAGTCCATCATTGCGGCCACTGTGCCAGTCCATGTCACTGAGGATCTTCATTGCCCTTGTTGGCCCTCTACTTCACCAAACATGATGTCCTCTGCCTGCAGTTGATCCCTCCTGATGACGTGTCCAAAGCAAGTGAGTCAATTGTGATCCATAGAGTTTTTACTGGCTAATCTTCAGAGGTAGATCTCTAGGCCTTTCTTCCTAGTCTTAGTCTGGAAGCTCCATTGGAACCTGTCCACCATGGGTGATTCCACTGGTATTTGAAATACAAATGACATTGCTTCTGGAGTCATAACAACACGCAAGGTACCAGAGTACAACAAATTAACAGACACTTGGTGGAATTCAATGCTTAATTCTGTCAAATTCTAGATTTAGGAAAAAACGCCATGAAAAGCTAAAACTTGTAACAACATGTAAGAAATGTATTATGGTTTTTGTAAACCATGTCACTGAGGGCAACCCTGCCCTTCCCACTCTTGTCTCTGTTTTGTTGCTGTAGAGCACAGGAACGGGTTTCCTCAAGCTTGTGCCGGCAGCTGCTGCCCTGATTGCCCTCTCAGGGGACAGCCCTCTTTCAAAATACAGAGGTAATATACGGGGGAGTTTTGACTGTCTAAGTGCAGGAACCTCCAAATATCCAGTACATTGTCTTCTTCACTCACCCGGTGTCCCCACCACTATAGTTGTTCTTCAGCGGGTACTCAGCATGACTTACGTGTTTCATGAGGAAAAATGTTTAAGGTTTAGAGAATTTGGAATTTTTCAAGATGTCTATCTATACTTTCTAATTATTCATTACTTGGATGTTGTTGATACTTATTTGTTTAGGGGTTATTCAGACACCAGTAATTACTATTCCTTTGAAGACTAGGATTAGCCTCACATTGCTGCTTACCAGCCTCGTGGCCTTCATCTTAGATGTGCTAAATTATCAAGAAGTTGAAATGTGCTTGGGTTTTCATTAGTTATCAAATTATCTAGTTTTGGAGGCCTTCAAAATAAAAAGAAAATAATCAGGAATATAACTTCCCCTCTCCTTTCCCTTTGTATTCAGAAATAAACTATTTAGAATTCAAAGCACATACTCTTTGAAGATGTATTGCAAGTATTAACTTAAAGATTTCTTTTCCCCTTAATGTGTCTAGCTCTTTTCCAGCTCTATGCAGAGAACAACAGGGGGCATTATGAATCTGGGGCACACATGACTCGAAGGACTTTGAGGAACCTACTAACCGATCTACAGCAGGAAAATCCCTAAGACTTAAGAATTCTAAATTTGTTTCAGTTATAATAGATACATTTGTTATTATAGAATATGATTTTTACTGTGTTAAGTTTACCATTATGTAGCTCTCCACACAACCCCTCCCCTCTGTAGCTACTGCTATAATCTGAGTATATATTTAAAAAAAAAAAAGGCTGTCGATCTGATTTCCACTAATGGCAATTCCACGTGTATCAGAGTAGAACTGTGCTCCACAGGATTTTCAATGGTTGAGCTTACAGAAGTAGATCACACCATTTGTACCACCCAGGGACTCTGTTTAATCTCTACAGAGGTGGAAAATAGCCTAGTCAAAACATATCTCTATAGGTTCAGATAATCCCTATTGAAATATCCAGTAGTCTCTTTTGCTTATTCCAAAGTATTTTATTTTTCCTTATACTCCTTGTACCCTTTTCACTCCTGAATATCAAAATCCTCACTGTGCCTGACAAGTACGAGTTCTCCACGCTTGATTTCTACTATTCCTTCTACCAGCAATACCATCATTTACCCCTTCCACTTGACAAATTCTGCTCTTCTTTCAAGATCTCTGAATTATCAGTCACCTCCTCACAAAGGGCTTCTTTAACTCCCTGTGCATATCACTGTGTGTAACTTTGTTACAGCACTTGTCAAATTGTATTGTACTTATTACCTAGATGTAAGATTTCCCCATTGGACTGTTTCTCAAGGACAAGGATTATATCTCATGCATGTTTCTATCCCCAGTGCCTTGAACAGTGCCTGGTCCTAGAAGGCCTTTAATAAACGCTTAATAAATGCATAGATGAAAGGCAAAGCTAAATACTCAAATGGTTAAAAGTTCCATCATTTCCTGCATGTTAAGAATATGCAAATATGATGTCATTTCTATCCTTACCAGGCAAGGGAATTTAGCTTTCTTAAAGTAAATATGTTCCTTAAGTGTTAAAAAGATGTAAACTGGTGTAACCAAGCAGTTACTTCTGCAACGCATGGAGCAGACCCCAGACTGTATTATGTCTACCTGGTTCCTGTTCCTATGTACCTTTTACCCTTGTTTCAAAGGTCTCTCTTGTCTTCTTCTAGACCCTATAAAATCCCCAAACTAGGCCTTCTGCACAGTGAGGCAGTAGAGTTTTAGTCAATAATTTTCTGTCATTTTTCTCCTGAGTCTGGACCAAGGATTCTGAATTAGAAATAGTCATGATGAAGGTAGCAGGAAAGGGTAAGGAGGAAGATTATCAGAATCTCTAGGACAGGGAGTATGGTTTCAAAAAACTTATCCAAAGTTAACTTTGCTTTGATTTGATCTTGCTATTATTATTCTGTATAAATTTTTATTTTAATATTTAACTTATCTGGAAATTCCAAGCAACATTTAAAATGTTCATATTTCTTAAATGGAATAATGATTTTTTAAAAAAATTTATAGGGTTAAAATGTCAGGCCTAGATACTGCAGAGCTGTTCGGCAGTTACAGCAACACATAGATCCAACCGCTGGTTTTCTCCCGACTCTCAGGCATCTCTCAGGGAGCCATGTAGCAGAGGCTCTTCCTCAACAATCCCCAGGTTTCAGGACTCAAGCTGGTAGGGAGCCAGAGAGTGTGGGAAAATCTGTCCATCCATTTATACCATCAGACTCGAAAGACTAGAGTATTTAGAAAGCTGTTGTTGTTAGGTGCCATTGAGTCGATTTCCACTCATAGTGACCCCATGTGACAGAGTAGAACTGCCTTATCGGGTTTTCTAGGCTGTAATCTTTACAGGAGCTGATGGCCAGGCCTTTCTCCTGCGGAGCCTCTGGGTGGGTTCAAACTGCCCACCTTTCAGTTAGCAGCCGAGTGCTTAACTGCTGTGCCAGCAGGACTCCTTATTTAGAAAGTGGATGTGCAGAAAGGAGATGGGCTGAGGGGCATTTTCCTTCTCGTGTACAAATCTTTGTGCTCTTCTCGTGACCCCTGCAGCTGGCCCTAGGTCAGCAGTCCATCCAACAGGCCCTAAATGTCTGCCCTTGTTCCAGGCTCAGCTGAGGTCAGTGAGCTGCTGAACTGGCAGTTCCCAAAGTGCTCTATCTGCCTCATGTATTAGTATGCTCCTGAGAAAGCTATTAGAAAGGCGGAGATTTGCATAGCAAATTATCATCCCATTGACTTCCATTATGAATTCAGAGATAGATTCCCATAGAAAATTCCAGACCCCACTATGTGATTCAAATCCCCCCTAAGAATTCTAATTATCATTTCAAGTGGTATTCTGCTTGTGCCAGCATGCCATCCAGCCATGTTTAATTCTCTCATAGAACACCTGCAAGAAATTAGTCCAATGGGCAATTAATCCATAAAATCTTTGTGCAGTACTTAAAACCAAAAATGTAGGTTAAAACACACCACAGAAGGGAATGTTCTTTTTGCTGGTGTCAGAATCATGGAGCTGATGAATCAGTCCCATCTGATCTACCGCCCTCATTTTGTAAATGAGGTTCAACCCCTTGCCCAGGGCTCAAGGACACCAGAAGAATATGGATGTTGAATCGGCCACATGGTCTGTGCCAGTGTTCAGTTATTTCATCAGCACTTGAAGGCTGGAAGATGGACAATGAGTTATTTTTCAGACAAAGGCCCGATAACATATGGAGCAATTACTTATCATCTGATGGTGACAGGGTTATTATCAATTTAAAGCACAAGCCATCTTGTCCCCTATTACGCAAATGTTTGTTGACTTTTGCCTGGCTAATTGTCAGCAAAGAGGTTCTAAGTGCCACTTTCCTGATTAGAAGAATGTTTATTGGAGTTGATGGACTCAGCAGGGGGATCTTTGGAATTACCTCTGAGGCTGCAGGCAATGCCTGCCGACAGCCTGTGCTGTAGAAGACATCAGACTTGCCAACAGGTCCCATAACCAAAAGGGAATAAATGGAGGTGACAGGCACACGTATCTGAGCATATAGGTAGTGTCTGAGCCAAGTCCCTGGCCATGTTGGCAGTCACAGGGGTTCTTAATCTCTTAGCTAGCTCCTTATGGTGACTATGGTTGAAAGATGGAAACCACAGAGTCATGTAGTATAGATTGAGCCACTGAAATAGAGCCAAGATCAGGGTGTGACAAAGATTTGTGAAAACCCTCAACGAAAAGTTAGGAATCCTGGAGTTAGACTCTAATTCTGCTATCAAATCTCCATCATCCCTCGCTTTAAGCAAGGGTAATGATCACTGCTCTACCCTCCAGAGATAGGCTTTTGTTAAAATGAGATGAGGTGAAAGCATTTGAAAAGGTTTTCTTTAAAACCACTGTAGACTTGAATACAATATCAATGTTATCTGCATTTTGTAAGTAAAGAAGAGCAAAGAGAGGTTAAAATAATTTGACTAAAATCATAACAAGTGGCACAACCAAAGCCATCCCTCCATGACCCAATTGACAGACTTGCTTCTGTCACCCTCCTCCTTCCTCCCACCAGCCCTGCTTCCTTCCTCTTGCTCATTCACAGTTTCAACTCAAACCCTGCACAAAAACCACACATTACGTTTGTTAGCTTGGGTTGGGACAAATCCTCCAGTCTCAGAAACCAAATACACGTGACTCCTTGGATGTGAGCACTATCACTCAGGTGTGCCGATCCTGATGGCCACATATTTCTCCATTTGCTGAGAGGTCTGTCCCCTCTTGCAGATCCCAGCTGTGGTGGGGGAGAGTTGTGCTCTGTGTTCTGTGGAAAGTGCTATACGCAGCTGTTTCCAAGGGGTGAGTGCAATGTTCCGGGGAGTTGGGGGAAGACATGCCTGAATAGTTTGCTGACTGACTTAAATTACAGACCTATTACTCAACGCAGGCTCCCAGACAATCTAATTTAGGAGGTAGACTTGCCTCTGACTTTTCACATGATAGACTTCTTTAGCAGAGCTGATATCAGTAGAACCAAAGAAGAAGATGAAAATAAATTTTCTGTACTAGAAACCAAAGTCATGCTTAAAAATGCATCTAAGCATGCTTTTGTTTTTCAGGTGTTGAGCCAAGCAATCAAAGAAGAGAAATTCCTAAGCTGGTTGCTATACGAGCCACCCATCCTTCTGTGGCTCCCCACCTGCTACAGATTATCAGTCTCTGAGATGGTCACTCACCCAGTTCGGTGTAGTGTCTGCAGGAACTTCCCAATCACAGGACTGAGGTGCAGTCACTCATCAGCCTTTGACAGTCATTCTCCAAATGGGTCTGAAGTTGGAGCTGAGTCTCTCCAGATTCTGAGGTCCTTCTCTCACATCTACAACTCAGTTACTTCTTTTGGCTCAATAATTTTCTGCATGAGGCATCCTGCTTGATAATAAATTATATTTGATTTTCTATACTTGATGGAATATTAAATTATTCCACTGACATGTCCTCCTAAACTCAGACCAGTTGAAATTTTTGTTCCCCTAAGAGGAAAAAAATTTTATCTTTTGTTTCAAATAACTTTAAAAATACTTTGGAGCCATCAATAATAATAATAGTGATAATAATAACAATAGCTTATATTAATCAGGAGCCCTAGTGGTGCAGTGGTTAAGAGCTATGACTGCTAATCAAAAGGTCGGCAGTTCAAATCCATAAGCCATTCCTCAGAAACCCTGTGGGGCAGTTCTACTCTGTCCTAGAGGGTCGCTATGAGTTGGAATCAACTTGATGGCAATGTGTTTGGTTTGGGGTTTTGTTTTATATTTATTAAGTGTTAACCAAGTGCTAGGCTGAGTGGTTAAATGGACCATTTCATGTAAAACACATGATAACTCTATAAGAAGGTGGTATTAGTATTCCCAATTGCAGATGAGGATATTGAGACTAGAGATATTTAAAAATTCACTCAAGTTTATAGGGTTAGCAAGTAGCTGAGGCTGACTGTCTGAATCCAGAGTCTATACTTTTCCCTAATGTTGCTATGCCGGCTCCCTCTGCAGATAACTGAGAACAAGAAGTCACACCCAGAGGAACTGTCAGATTTTGTGACAGTTCAGGGGCCTTGGGCACCTTACAGGCAAGGGTAGAGTTGAAAGCTGGATTTGTGTGTGGAAGATTCAGACCTTTCCACAGCTTTGAGGATGGCAGTCACAATCCCATCTTACAGAAAGAGAGAGAGGGAGGCAGGAAGGAAGGACAGAAGGACAAAAGGAAGGGAGGGAAGAGGGAAGGAAGGGTAAGGGCGGAAGGGAGGGAAGGGGGAGGGAGGGAAGAAGAGAGGGAGGGAGGGAAGGAGGAAGAAAGGAAAGAAGGAAATTAGAGTTATTACCAAAGCCTTGGGGAGGAGGGGAAGAAACTAGCAGGGCCAGGCCAGGTATGGAGAACCCCAGTCTTCATGGTGAGTGGACACAGGTGTAGGGGCTGGAAATGAGGTGAGACTGAAGACGTGGGACAACCAGGTAGCTAAAAATAAGCCAAAGATGGGGGTGCCCAGAAAGGGCAAAAGGGGTGAGGACTTAGGGTTTGACTCCTACTCACTATGTTTCCTTCCTTTCCTGCACTTCCAGACCTTAACTGGCCAGGCTCCTAACAGTTAAAAAATAGGTCTGCTGAGTGCCCTAAAACACTAGAGATCAGGTTTTGATGTTGCTGAGAAAATAAATTGGGTTTGCAGAGAATTCTGAGAGCACAGTGAACTTCACTCATGAAAAACCCAAACTTTTAACAATAAAACATGTAAATGGAAAGGACTGTTGGAAATCAAGCAAGACAAACCAAAGACATGTCTACACTACAATAAATAATAAACTTTTTTTAATAAATTGGACAGTGGAGGAACACACCATGTTGTATGCAGATTATAATCATTTAACCAATAAACAAGTATTAAGCAGTCAGTACATGTCCTGCATTGTACAGAAATGGACTTTTTTTTTCAAAATCACTATGTAGAAAATAAAGTAGATATTATTATTCCTATTTAATAGATGGCAAAATTGAGTCTAAAAAGATTTTAGTGACTTGCTCAGGTCTCTCGCTAAAAAAAATAGCAAAGGCAAAGGGCTGGAAGTGCCATACTTCAGATTTTAGAATTTGTCTGTATCTACTGAGTATGAAATTAAGCTTCCCTTAGATGCCTCCATGCGAACCATGTTTCCTCCGGAACATTCAAGGCGATGCACATATATACGGATAGATGGGTGATCCTGGGCAAGGCGTTTAACCTCTCTGGGCCTGAGTTTCCTCATAAGTATAATAAGGAAGAGGGGATCAAATGATACCTGAGGCTTCTTTAGCTCTAGCCTTCTGAGGCTACTAAAAATGACTGAATGTGTTACAACACACGTTTTAAACGTATGTTTTTGGCTCTCAGAAAACTCCAGGTTGTGTGACCCTGTGCAATTTGCAGTTTCCTCATCTGTAAAATGAGGATAATAGTAAGAATACTTGACCTCAAAGAGTTGTCATGGGGGCTGATTGTCAACACATGTACGCTGCATGTCACATGGTAAGTGTTCAAAAATATTAGGTACTATTTTAGCCATTCAATACTATTTCTTAATGTCCCACCATGTGACTTGAGGTTGTGGGTACAGTAGTGAGCAAGGGCACTGTTTTCATGGAGGTTACATTCTCCTACTCTGCCTTCAAATGAAGTTGGCAGACTTTTTTAAGAGCTTCTGCAGCCAGCCTCAGGAGGCATTCCAAGTTTTAACTCCTCTGTTCTTAAGGGTAATCAGCAGGACTGAGAGACGTGAAGGGCTCAGACCTATTCCTGCTCACCCCAACCTTCATTACCTCACTCCTCCTCTTTCTTCTACCTGGAATTTCCTCCACTTTAATCTCCAGCTCGGCGTTCCATGCGTAGCATGAGTCTTACTTCCTACATGACAATTTTTTCTGACTGTACCACCAGCCCATGGGGATCTCATTAGTAGTCTAGCACCAGCCGTTTGCATCACCCAGGTATCTCAAATACCCTTAAATGCTCCCAATTCATGACTTCTAGGTCTTGCCAGACCTCCGCTGATATCACAATATGTTGTCTTCTTCTAAATGTTATGGGACACATCCCCTTGCCTGAGTATCTCAAGATTTCCTCTCTCTTTCTGACCACAAGGAGATTTAAGGTTGGAGCTGTTCATAAAAGGCAGTCTGCAATATCGAAGTGCTAAGAAATTTGGATGTGATTGTCATTCAGGTTTTAGCTGGTGAGGAACTCTTCCTCCTCCACTTTATATCTTTACTACATTCTGACTTCCAGAAAATGATAAAACTGTATTATAAATTCTATATTTTAAAATAAAACTTTGTCATCTTACCCAACACCATGTAGGAAGGCAGGTCCAAATTTAGATCCTGTAAATATTCAAGAGAAGCCAGATTTCAGATTTTATTGAAATCTCCCAGTTTTGTTTGTTTGTTTGTTTGTTTGTTTGTTTTCTGTTTTTAAGTTGGCAACTAAATTCTCAATATTTAAATGCACTGTGCAGCTAAACAAAATGTGGCTGCAGACTTAAGGGTCTATCCTAAGGATTACAGCACACAGTATCCTGCACAGAGAAGACACTTTCTATGTATTTTGGATGAATCAGGCTTCTCTGCCATAGTTTATTAGGTATAACCATATTTATATAATCCCATATTATTAAAAAAATTATAAAAAAGATTTTTTTTTTTTTTTTTAATCAACACATCAGAGTCATTTAGTATCCCTAGAAAGTTTGGGAAAAATTATCTATCACTTGATAGCTCAGATATCTCCTGTATGTTCTTGGGTGTTCATTCTCTGCCTGAATATTATTGTCTTTGCTCACCGACTAGTAGTGATGTAAGCTGCATTTCCATTTTAACTGGCAGATATCGCTGTCTGAAGTGTTTCAACTTTGACATCTGCCAGGTGTGTTTCTTATCTGGTCTTCACAGTGAGTCCCACCAGAAGCCTCATCCTGTGATTGAGCACTGCATCCAGGTAACATCTAATGCAACACACCAAACTATTCATGAATTAAATCAATGTAAGCTACAGCGGTTAATAAACCTCCCCACCAGGAAAACCACAGATTCTACCCTGTCATACCTTATAACATTTAAACGAAGGAAATGGCAAACTCAACCTCAAATCTCTCTCAATATACATAGGCTTTCTTTACATGGTAGATGTTAATAAAAGCTTTTAGGGACAAGAGAATATCTGGGAGGAATAAAAGGGGGTAGAGGCATTGGAAACAGGCAGAAATGGAAAAGAGAATGGCTCTAGTTCGGTAAAAATTATGCAACAGGGCCTCTAGTTGCTAATACATTTTTTGAGAATTTTTTTTTAACATGCAGTTTCCTGAGCTCTAAATTTCTAGTATTTTTTACAGGGAGTGGAGAGAAACATTGCTATTTTAGTTTTGTGTGGGAGAGTATCACAGCTGCCTTTCAAGGGTTTTTAAAGAAAATTATAAGTGTTCAGCAAGAGAATTCAGCCCTTTTTTTAAGAATAATGAGAAACAAGATAGTAACTTTTAAGCAAAGAGCATTTTAATTTCTTCCAGAAATAACTCTTTCTTTTCATCAGTAAGTTCCTATGGATCAGTTTCTCCGTGCAGAAGGCATCACCCATAAATACTGGGATACTGAAGGCTGTTGGTCACTGCCTTTACTGAGGACAGTTTCTTCTCTGTATCTCTTTAACATGAATGATCCGCAGAAGTAAAGCGCCAAGGTGTTGCCAAATAACTACCAGACGACATTACTTTAAAAAAAAAAAAGAAAAACAAAACCTGGATTACTCTATACCTTCAGGTTCATTGCCCTGTGATCTTTCCATTTCTAAAAGCCTGGGGAGAAATAGGGGTTGTCTATGTTAGAGCAGAAGCCCTGGTGGCGCAGTGGTTAAGAGCTTGGCTGTTAACCAAGAGGTCAGCAGTTTGAATCCACCAGGCGCTCCTTGGAAACCCCATGGGGTAGTTCTATTCTGTCCAGTAGGGTCGCCTTGAGTTGGAATCCACGCAACAGCAACGGTTGTTTTATGTTAGACTGACACCATGTGGTCATTTTGTTATTACACTTTAAATTTCAAGTGAAGAAAGACTTAATGAAGCAACTCATTCCCTCTTTCCTTTTAGCAGAGTTTCTTAACCTGGAGTCTATGGATGGATTCCAGGTGGTCTGTGAATCCACTGAAATTATATACAGCAAAGGAGAATGCAAAACTCCTGCTCAGGACCCTCAGAAACAACCTACTCCAAGGGCGCTGTGGGAGGAAAGAAGCTGAGAGAAGTCGGTGGCTGCTGGACCATGTGAATCCAAAGGTCTTGGCTAACCTTGCACATGCCAGGTGAGTGTCTGTGAGAGTGACAGTCCCTCTGTGTGAAAGCCCAGGGGCCTTGGGTATTGGGTTACACAGCCAGCACAAGGAATATACAGCAGCTTTCATACTACTGACGATCCTAAAGAAGGCAGGAGGTAAGGGTGAGGGAGATTAAGATGCTCTTTCCCTCTAGAAGTAGCCTTTAATTTTCAAGCAAAACTAAGAGACAGTGGAGTCCCTGGGTGGTGCAAATGTTTAACGAACTGGGCTGCTAACTGAAAGACATACCTCAAAGGAAAGGCCTGGCAGTCTACCATTACTTTCAAAAAATCAATATCAATGCCTTTGAGTGACCCATCCAATAGTTTAGAGTTATTCTTAAGGCTGCAGACATCAGAAAGGCACAGAAGATTTTTAATAATAGTAGAATATTTGAATAACTTTTTTCTGTATCCCTAATTTTTGTTGGTTTGCTTTTGAAGCCTAATTCAGAACTAATATTTTATTTAAAAAAAAAAAAAAGGAAAAGAAAGATACCCATTATCCCACCACTCACCCTGAGTACAATAGGGTTGTTCACCAAAGTAACATGCTTATGTAATAATTTTTAGTTCAACCTACATATTGATGAGTTCAGAAATTCTTATTAGAGGCTGATTCAGGAGGAATGAATGTGTAACATCAGCATTTCACAATGTGAGATAGGGGGAAAAAACACACCCTTGATATCTTTTAACTTGGCACATGAGTGCTGACCATTTTCTCAGAGATTAATGTTTATTGCTAAATGATAATATTGAATTCATTCTTTGATCCAGCAAGCATTCTGCATAGTATTCAGCCTCCTTCTTTTTGATGTGGATTCACTTATTTTACACATAATAGTTCACACCGAGAATACTTTCATTTACAAAAACATAATTGAAAGCTGTTGTTGTTAGGTGCCGTCCAGTCGCTTCCGACCCATAGCGACCCAATGTACAACAGAATGAAACACTTAACCAGTCCTGCGTCATCCTCATAATCCTTCTTATGCTTGAGCCCATTGTTGCAGCCACTGTTAATCCATCTCATTGAGTGTCGTCTTCTTTTTTGCTGACCCTCTGCTTCACCAAGTATGATGTCCTTCTCCAGGACTGATCCCTCCTGATATCATGTCCAAAGTATGTGAGATGAAGTTTCATCATCCTCACTTCTAAGGAGCATTCTTGTACTTCTTCCAAGACAGATTTGTTCACTAAGTGTGAAATATCACCACTTTTTTTTTATTAAATATTTTGGAAGTTATTGCACATATAATCTAAAATAAAATTAAAACACAGAAAAAGAAGAGAAAAAATTACTTTAATTTGCAACTAATAGGATCGTGAATCTAGAAACTCCAAGCAAAAAGTACTAAAATTAATAGATTTTGAAAGGTGGTGGAAAACAAAATAAATTATGCATTAATTAACAACTCTTCACTAGACTAGCAATAATCAGTGAGAAATTTTATAAAAATCCCATAGACGATACCTGCAAAAATTATTTTTTAAAAACTTAGGGAGAGAAGATGGCGGTCTAGGCAGAAGCACCACGCCGTCCCTCCACAACAAAGATCCGAAAAACTAAGCCAAACAGAGAATCAACAATCCTGAAACCCTAGAACATCAAAT